AAAAAAAAAAAAAAGTAGAAAAGGGAAAACAGTAGAGGAGGTAATGATGTGTTACCTGATTAAAAAAAAAAAAGTAGTGAGGCTAGACTTAAGCTTATTATTTAACAAGTGGTCAGGCTGAGACAATCACCTCAACAGATAGGAATGTTTTTGCAGAGTATTTTACCATTCAAGTTATTAAATAACAAAACAAAAGAGAAAACCTCCGAAGAAAGGATGCTAGTCTGCAAGTTCACAACATGGGGGACTAGAACATGCTTCACTATTTTTCTCAGTTACTTATTTGTATTATGCTTACAAGAAGTAAAGATGTGGAATACTCTAAATTTTTTATTTAGAGTAAATTTTATTATCTATATTCTATTCCATTAATGATTTAATATGGAATCATCACTAGTCAGGACAGCTTTAAAGAATTCAATTTATTAACATGTATCTTCATACATTCCAGTTAAGCAGCACACACAGGTTCACGCCTATAATCCTACTCTAGGAGGCCGAGGCAGGTGGACTGCTTGAGCTCACAAGTTTGAGATCAGCCTGAACAAAAAGTGAGACCCTGTGTCTACTAAAAATAGAAAAACTGAGGCAAGAAAATCACTTGAACCCAAGAGTTGGAGGTTGCAGTGAGTTATAATACCATAGCACTCAACACAGGGCGACAGCTTGAGACTGTCTCAAAGAAAATAAAATAAAAAATAAGTTAATATACTCCAATTAAAGCATAAAAGATACCAACATCAAGCCTGATTATAACTTGCAATTTTAAAAAAGATACATTCCTATATTGGAGCTTACATGGACCCTCAAATACTGGTCACAATGAGTTATACGCTGTCCTGAGCTCCTTTTTTTTGACAATTTTCTCAAAATTCAGTATACTGGATTAACCCCTAATTGCCACAGAACTTGGCAAAAATCCATATCAACATTATTAAATTTTGCTAACAATTATAAATTAGAAGAACTTCTAAAAGTTATACTAGTGATTAATTTGCTAAAGACTATTTCCTGCTGAGAACACATGATAAAAATAAAATGGAGCCAATCAGGCTAGGCTAACACAACATAGTTGGTCTGATCCTACCTGACCTTCGACTCAATGTCTCCCATATTTGTTTTGTAGATTCAGCTCTAACTTAGAGACATATATCTTAAATAGGTTAGGACAACTGATTTAGAAGATTAACTTCTAAACTAAAATATTATTTTGAGTCATGGATTATACTGATTAGTGCTTACTATGGGTCACAGGTTCTACTGATCATTGTTTAAGGTAAGGGTTAACACAGTCTTCACTTTAAACTGTATTATATAGAACTGTAATTTTAGAAAAAGAAGAATAGAACAGTCTTGGAGAGGTTATTCTCACTGTTCGCCAGAATTCCGGCCTTCTGACAAAATTTGATGGACCTTTCCCCGTCTCTACATATTGACTGACCAGCAGCTGGACCCTCTTTGTCCAGTAACACTGTCTCTGATTTTAAGTAATACAAAATTAGGAGATTAACTTCAAAATTTAAAAGATTTTAGGTTCCAAGGCAAGATTCAGTGGCTCACCCCTGCAATCTTAGCATTCTGGGAGGCAGAAGCATGTGGGTTGCTTAAACTCAGGAGTTCGAGACCAGCCTAAGCAATAACATAGCTAGGTGTTATGGCAGGCACCTATAGTCTTAGCTACTTGGGAGACTGAGGAGCTTCACTCAGAGCATCACTTGAGCCCAAAAGTTTGAAGTTGCTTTGAGCTATGACACCACAGCACTCTATAGAGAGCGACATAATAAGACTTTATCTCAAATAAATAAATAAATAAAATTTAAAAATAAAAAATAACATTTTGGTTAGCATAAGGCCTCTAGTGACATGATAAACAATACAAAAAGTGCCCCTTCTTCAACAAGCAAGTGAAGATAAATGCAGTTAAACTGTAAATGATTCAAAAAGTAGTTCTGATCCTACTGATGACAAAGACACTTGGTATCAAAGATATAAATTCTTTTTTTTTTTTTTTTTGTAGAGACAGACTCTCACTTTATCGCTCTTGGTAGAGTCCCATGGCACCACACAGCTCACAGCAACTCTAACTCCTGAGCTTAGGCAATTCTCTTGCCTCAGCCTTCCGAGTAGCTGGGACTGTAGGCGCCTGCCACAACGCCCAGCTATTTTTTTGTTGCAGTTTGGCTGGAACTTGCCATCCTTGGTATATGGTGTCCTACTCACAGAGCCACAGGCGCTGCCCAAGATATAAATCCTTAATGAAAACAATTTCATTCAATAAACAGTATTAAAGTCACATTATTAAATATAACAAGACAGTAACAATATTAATTATTATAAAAAAACATTTAACAATTCTACATGCCTATATTTAGTGGGTCTCAATTTTTTTGGGTAATTTCATTGGAAAAATTAAGGAAAGCCTTATATTAAGTTATCTAATTAATAGCTGGGTATATTGGGGGCTTTACTGTCCCTTTTACATATATTTCTTTTAGGAAAAACTGATATCACTGCCTTATTCTTTCAGTACTTACATTTCTCATAAAATGAACTGGTATTTTAGTTTACATAGTAGTCTCTTATGAGTTAGTGTAACTGTGCCCTTGAAGGCTGGTATGCTTTTACTACAGACAAAGTTTCAAACTGACGTGTTTACCACATGGAAAAACACTCATTTTGTGACCCTACAGAGAATACATCTCTCCAAAGCAGCAAGTCTGGCCATCTAGAATCACAATGGGGAAAAAAGGATGTTTTGTAAAAGTTACTACTATGAGAGAATCCTGCTAGAAAACAAACATTCCCTTTCAGACTCCTTGATGAGCTTTCTAAAGCAGTACTGCCTAAACAGCAGACTACATTGAGATTACTCAATAGAAATTGATGAATTAGTCCACACAGAAAATGTAACCTCAGACTATGGCTATAGCACCCTAACACACCCAATCTCATCTCATCTTGGAAGCTAAGCAGGGTAGAGCCCGGTTAGTACTCAAGAGAAAAGGTAACCTTAAATTACTTCTCATGAGCCACAGAATCCAAGGTAATAAAGAAAATACTAATTTCTACCCCTGCCACTATAGGGACTTCAAACAGTTAGTAGAAAGTTTCTTAATCAAGATAGAAGTCACTGGCTCAGTGCCTGTGGCTCAAGTGGCTAAGGCAC